ACTTATCAGATTCTCTTGCATTTCCTGCAGTCTCTCTTGACGTTTATAAATGCAGCTGCAGTAAAATTTCACCCATCTTGCTACGGGATCTGAGCTTTCTTTCAGTAAGCAAATTATTGCACTAAGAGAAGGTGTATTGTAATTTAGGTTTTGGGAAGTGCCCAAATTGCACCATATCATCAGGAACCAACTACTTGCGTTACCACATTAGCGTCAGTGATGCAAATAAAGTCCTACATACCACACGCTAGTCCTACATACCACACGCTAGTTGCTTTAAGAAAAGCTACATGGACTTCAGCAGCAGCTTGCAGCTGGACTCCATCTCTTGCACTGCAACTTGATGCTCTACTGCCATGTTTGTTTGTATACTTCATGCTGATCACATACAAAATTAGTAGTGGAGTTTATCTACAAAAAAAGAAAAATAAATAACTGAGCTGAAAGCATATTTTCTAAGCTTTTTTATTGTAGGCTCTCAAAATGTGACATTGTGCTGCAGACTGAAACCAGGTTTTGTCTAGCCTCCAAGGCCTTCATCCAACGGCTATTACGTTCTGACTTAACTGGGTCAGCACGTCATCACTCATGGTTTTAAAGCCTTCTGTCTAACCCTGACTCTATAAAAGGTGGCGCATAGGATAATATAAGCACGCTCTCAGTTTAGTCATTTCGCACTCGCACGCCTCGACTCTAAAAAACAACAGGGGTGTCATTGCACAATGGCTGTGCTGCATGTGTTTTCTAAATTTGCTCCATACTTTCTTTATAAAAGGCCAGTAAGAGGTGATAAGGCCTCACGCTAGTAAAAAGTGTCGTTTTATTAAAGGCTAAATACAGTTCTGTGCGGCTTCAGTAGCTTGCTAGAAAATATTGTGGTTTCTCTGGGGGAGCTGGTTAGGGCTGCGCTCCACTAATCTGACTTTTATGGAAGAGTGGCAAGAAAGAAAGCATTGCGGAAGCAAAGATGTAAGAAGTCTTGTTTACAGTTTGCTACAAAACACGTGCGCTCCGGTCAAGTGATTTCATGGTGCACGTGCAAAATGCTACATGTGGCAGAAAACCAGCACAACACCTTCTCTTGAAAACAGAATGAAATGCTTTTAGAGAAGTCACTAAAAGCATTTGGGAAGACAAGTTGAGCTGCAAAAGACTCAGACTCAGGTCTGTTGTGACAACCACACATAACATGCAAAGATCACGTAACAAATTCAAAACTGAAGTTCACTCTTCATCAAATCTGACTGAACGTCATCAAATTTACTGAGAAGAATGAGGGAGAACTTTTAAATGTGCAAACCCGGTAGAGACATTTATGGACTCAAGGAGGGAGGCAATATCAAATAGCAACTCTAATAACTTCAGTGTCTCGTTGAAGTTTGTGGTTGGGACGTGAAACCGCAAGCCTGATTCATTCAGGACTCCAAGATCCCATAAGAACAAGAATATTGGAATCTTTAGGTTTTCCCAGGAAGTGTGCAAACTGGAGATAAAATTAGAAAGAGGAGGAAAAACGAATATTCTGGAGAGGATGTTGATTATGGAGCTGAGAGGGAGAAGGAAAAGAGAAAGAGCATTGAGACGGGCTATGAAGGAAGGGAAGGATGTTGAGCGGAGAGAGGATGGAGGCAAGGGCGACCCCTGGAGGAAGCAACTGGAACAGATCATCATGACACACCAGTGAAGATAAATGAATTTGAATCGGATTATGGTTGATCTAAAAAGCTCTACATAAATCTAACTCACGACAAGATAAGCCAGCATCAGAGTGCTAAAGTGTTGGGCACTGTTAATTTACAACAAGAAGGTTTCTGGTTTCAAATTCTGCCTGGACTCAGCCGTCTGTTTAGAGATTTTGTGCTGTCTCCTGCAAACCCCTGCTTCCATTTCTAACTTTACTAATGAATTAGAGTGTAAGTTGTTTGTGCATTGAAAAAGTGTCGGACAGAAAGTCATTTAATTCCAGTTTGCTTTGTAAATTAAGCCATACGTCCACAAATTTGATTGACAAGTCAGAAACCGTCTAAATTCTTCATATCAACGGCAGACTGAAATCCTTCCTTTGTTATTTTAGTTTTTAGAGGACAGCTTCAGACATATTGACTGAATTTCACTCTGGCGAGACGTTAAAGTAAATCAAGCACAGAAGATTTTCTGTCATGTGCACAAAACCAGTTTGACGTGATGCATTTAGTGACATGGTGCACGGCCTCGATCAGAGGATGTGTACGCTTTGGTTGTAAAGAGATGAACATCGTCTGGAAAAAGAGGGGCGAAAAAAACCTCTGGTAGGCTGTGAGTTTTCAGAAGGCAGCAGCCAGTCTTTTATGGAACAAAAAAAAGTCAGGGGTGGTTTTTAGTTGACCAGGGCGCTGTTAAAAGAGAGAAACACCAGATAAAAATATCTAACCTCCTTCAACTGTTAGGTGCATTCAATGGGAGTCGTCATACCTGTATGTTGAGTATGTTCTTCCCGCTTCCTCCTAAGATTGGGCTGACAAGGTTGTGTGCTTTGGCACAAAGCATGCAAGCTATGAATCACAGAGCTTTCACAGAGCATTCCTGCTCTGGAATCACAGGTAACTTTTGTTGTTGCCAAGGGTTTTTTTTATTTTTATCAGTGTTCTTTTTTAATAAATCTGAACCTGCAGCTCACACCCAGGTAACACTCTGCATAAATTAAGCAAATGCAGAAAAAGGATTCTTGGATGGATGGAAAAATGTGGGAGAAAAATATATATATTTTTTAAATCTGCTCAAAAGGCCTTTTGAATCAACCCAACATCTTCTAATAAAGGCACTGTGCATTTTTTGTGTGATAACTATTGATTAAATTACACAACAATCAACAATTGGTGCTGTTTAATAATATAGAAAAAGGCTTTGTGAAACTTCCATTGAGTGCAAAACTCGCCCTTTTCAGGATAAACAGATGACGTCGAATGGAAAGTTTTTTGATTCAAGTGACATTTTCTGAGTCAAGATGACATAATGACTTACATATCTATACCTAATCTTCCTTTCCTATCTAAAGTCATTGAGAAAAGAGTTGTACATAATTTAAATCTCATCATAGCACTGACACAACACTTGACAGTGTTGCGAATTATATTGTCTTGGCCTCAGTGGACTTTATGTCTGTTCTTGTTTTGTTAGATCCCGGTGCTACTGTTGACACGGTTGACCACAATATCTTCTGGGGAAACATGTGGGTATAAAGTACTAGGCTGGCGTCGGTCGTACCTGTCTGAAAGATTCCAGTTTTCTTCACTTCAAAGCAGAAACTTACATGTAAGCCTCTTGATAGTTACTTCCTTGAATCCTTGTGTTGGCTGTCTTCCCTCAGTTTTCTTGCCCTGGGCTTTTCTTTCTTTTTAATTAGCCATACCTGATTCTCATTTATCTTTTCTGTCTTTCCAGCAGATGAGTCACATGACAGCCAACCCGACAATCCGTAACGAGTTGATGCCTATCAAATGAGATCATGTGGATTCGCCCAGTTTGAGTTTCTATCTGTTTTTCTCCGTCCCTGACAATAATATTACCAAAAAGTTTAATTATGAAGCACTTTCTTACTGAACTATTACACATAGATAAAACAAAAATAAAACAACACAGATTGAAATCAGTTAAAATACCAAGAAGCCAGTGAAACAGAAAGTAGAGATTTAAACCAGTAGGACTGACTTTGAAATTAGATTAAATAAAAAGTCTTGATTACCCTCAAGACTTTTGGTCACTTTGAGTATTTTACAGTTTGAGCTAGAGATGTTCAAATACAGTCCAAACTTATTTAAATAGTACAGTGAAAAGGTATTTTAAATAGCCATCAATAAGAGGCCCCGATGGCAGCAGTTGTCAGTGGTTAGCAGGATTAGTTCAATTTAACCCCACTAAATATTTTAGTGGCCTGACCTGATCACGTCTATGAAGGTTTTCTGGGGGCACCCCAAAAAATGTGATTGTTTGAAGCAAGCAGAAAATCAAGCTACCTTGTAGCTCTCCCGCAGTCTTAGCGCAACGCTTAGGAGGTCCGGTCAGACTGACAGTTTCCAAAACCACACACACACACACACCACACACACAAAACCCTCGTAAGGCCACTTGGCTATCCGATACATCTGATTGAACGTTGTTAATATGCTGCTCCAGTCGGACAGCAACTTCAAATGTGTAAGCTGTGCTCCACCGTTAGCATCCACGTTTACTTCCACAAACACTGAGCACTTCTTCTTTGTTTTTATGTCGGTTGGCAAAACACCGAGAACGCTGACGTTATTGCGCCCTCTACAGACAAACATTTGTGCCACCATCTATACCTGAAAAAAAAAATCCAAAATTCTGCACTTTGCATGCAACCTGATGTGTAGTTTCTCCCTCTGCAGATACATTTTGTAAAACAGTCAAGGATTTTAAAGGACCTAATTTGGGATTATGGGTCCCAGACCAGATATAGATAGTATCTGGTCTGTGATCAGTTTCTTTATTAAAATAGATCAAGGGATATAAGGCAGCTCACCTGGGATTAGCAGTCTGGTTTGGGGATCTGTGGTTATGGGCAATTGGCTTGGGGACGATGCGATCTGGTCTAAGTCCAGCATTTTTATTAAAAAGAGTCATGGACTGTAAGGCATCTTATTTGACATTAGCAGTATAATTTTGAAACCAAATGTTACAGGCAATTTGCTGCGAGGCTGCAGTTTCTGGTCTAGGACCAGCGTCTTTATTATTTTTGATACCAAAGCTCCACAGTAGAGGCAATAACCTTTTCAAATGTTGCTAAAAAATATCTAATTAAATCTTTTTTTTTCTCGATTCTAACCTGGTGTAGTTGGTGTTTGGCAGAACTAAATCTTAGGGTTTTTTTGCACGAGGCTTTCCTTTTTAACATCTCAAACTCTTACTAGACATTTTTATATTTCTTGTGAAATGGAAGATTACCCTCAGGTTTGGCTGGATTTTTTTCTTCAGTTATAAAAATTTGTTTCAGACGCTTTGGATACATTTTTATGAGACACCAGACCCATAATCCTGTTTTATTAAGAACTTTAAAATACACACAACATCCTTAACATTATGTACATGAAAGAAAACAATAATTTGTCTCCATAATGACAATGTTTAATATTTATCAAATAAATTATATGTATATTCCTTTCCTTCCTCTCCTCCATCTCTAAGTTTGAGACAGCTGTATTTCTGTAAGCCATAACTGAAAACCCATATTTTGTGAAGAAACTTTAAAAATTGGTTTCTTCACAATTTTTAAATGTATCAGTGACTGAAGCAAGTGGAAAGTCAAACGCCCCGTCTAGAGAAATTCAATTACAGTAATTGAAGAATAGGATCTATAACTGAAAAATCACAGCCGGAACCAGCTGATGTGGATCCAGAACAGGATCTGCCTGGTTCTAGAACAGAAACTTCTCTGGTGGGGGAAAAAACCCAAAAACCATCCAGTTTACAATCTGGAATTGACAGGGGAACACCGAAGGTTTGGATCATGAATTCTGTTCCACAGAGTATACATCTCTCCTGACATTATTCTGTGCACAAGAAGCATTTCTTTAAAGAAACAAGGGTCAAACTCATCAACGTTCTTGCCAGGAACATGTAGTCCAGCTGTTCTCACTCCAAGATGATGCTCCGGTTCAAACCCTGCATGAGCCAGACACATCCCCATGTAAACGTCATCAATTGGAAGAATGGGGATGGAGTGTGAATTGGCATAAATGACCAAAGCTGTGTAGCCAGACAAAAGGAAGCCCCCACCACCACAGTAAGCGGGGTATGAATCGGACTTATGGAGCTGCTCTGGAATGTAGTATTTACTGTTCGGAGAACGGATGGGTCCCACGTTGTAGATCAGATGGCCTGCAAACAGGTGCTTCCTTTCACCTTTGCGTTCAAAGTTTTGGAGATAGAGAACCATGTTGTCTGTGTTGGCAAAGACATCGTCATCACCGTTGAACAGGAAGTGGGCGCGGGGGCAGTTTCTCTCCATCCACTCCAAAAAGAGCATTTGCTTCAACGTGAGGTTGTAAAACGAGTCCTTGAAATCCCACTGGATTATGTCGTTGTACTTTCTGTGCTCCGTCTTGAGGAGATGGTTTAGTCTCTTCTTCTCATAACCTGTGCCCATCGTCCCTGAGATGAAGACCCTTCGGATCCACACGCCGTTAGACAGTCTCTCCTTGGCCCATGTCTTGCGCAGCACTTCTCTGCGGTCGTAGTTCATTGCAGAACTTTTGATGACCAGTAGAAGGAAGACGTCAGATGATGCATTGCTTCCACCACACTTGTTGGGGATGTCAAGTAGCATGGGAAAATGTCGGCAGTGGCGGTAGTAGAGGAGGTCTTTGATGTTAGTAGGAAGTGAGTTGAAGTCCCGAATCTTTTCAACAGATATGTTTCTTTCACATCTTGGTGTGGGCTCAATTTTTGGGAATTCTCTGACTAAGGACAGTATGTGTTGTTCATAGTTTATCAAATCATTTTGAAGTTTGTTGTCTGAGATGGAGAAATCATCAGAATAGTAAAACAAAGTGACCAGACCCACCATCACAAAGGTCACTGCAAAGACTCCTCTCCAAAATGGTCTTTTAAACCTGCAATGCCAAAAAAAAAAGATCTCTCATTAACAATAGTGCTGAACTGACAATTGTCAACGTATTTCTTACACTGGCTCTCAAAAATATGCAGACTCCTAACAAATGTATAGGTTTTAGAGATTTAAAAACCCATTCTAAATCTTCTCCAAAACGGAGTATTTCAAATAAACTTATATTATTTAAGGACAAAAAAAAGTCTTACTAAACTCTTGGATTCTTACTTTCAGCTATGAATAAAACAGCAAGATTATTGGACCTTCCCTACTACCTTTCACCCTTTTCTCAATAGATGAGCCTCATCAAACACAACAGAAAGTCATGAAAACTTTTTTATATTTTTTTCATTTAGATTTTTATAGTTGTCAAACATATTTACTTTCTTTCGGTTTAATTGCAAATTATAAGTGTCACAAAAGTTAGGAAAGGATTTACCATTGTAGAGTCAGAGTATATAATCATACAAACACATCAACTTTGTCCTCCTACAAATTAAGACTTGCATTGACTTTAATTTAAAATAAGACTAAGAAAGAGACTGATCAAAAGTAAAATTTTGGCATCATACAACGTAAAAGCAAAACATTCTGAGTGAACTCTGTGATTCGTATGTCAATTGTAAATAAAATGTCATTCAAAGTTTAGGATAATTGAGCTAAAACAACCCAAAAAGGTTTCGGATGTAGATATTTTATAAAAAAATGTGCACAAAATTTTATTTTATTTTTTTAAGTTGTGTTGTGGTAACACGATGTTCATCTGGTTATCTTTGTTAAAAATTCATCTCTCAAACAGTTTCTGCCAAAAAAAATAAATTGTCAAACTGCCATGACCGGTAGAGCGACAAGTCAACGTTTCCTGGAATATGAACTGGGAGATTCTTATTCGTTCTCTGTATCATGACAGAAAACAAACACATGTATCACGCTTTTTTACTTTTGCACAAATGTAAAAAAGCTTTTGTGAAAGCTTGCACAAAAAAATAAAAAATACATAATTAATCTATCAAAACATTTGTATTATCCCCAATAGTAAGTAATGTTTTTGGGGAAAAAAAAGCTTACTATTTGAATAAAGAAAGTCACTCTTTATTCAAATGACTTTCATAATCAGAACAGTATGATAAAATATAATTAGAGCTTTTAATAATTTAAATGCCACAGCTCTTGTTGGTCTTTTCTTTTCATATAAAGTAAAAAATAATTATTAACAAATCAGACATACTTTGGTAAATACAAGAAGAAAATAAAAAAATATATATAATATGAAATAAATCAGGAATAATTACCAGAGCATTTTAGTAGATCTGTGCATTATTCAGTAGGTCTCAGTCAGATGACAGGCGACGCAAGTGCAGGGCCGGTCATACAGAAAACAAGTGAGGAACTTGAATTCATACTCAGGGTTTTGTCTGTTAGGCGACGAGAGGATTGGCATGTTACACAAGCACACAAGTTTTTCTAGCTGGAAGACAGTCTGAAATTATTTCTTAACTTTTTATTGTTTGTTGCTCTGATTACAGAAATGGAGGAGTTAAACATTTTGTTTTTGAAAGTAGCTGATTTATGAAAAGCTCAGGAGCTTTTCATGAATCGGATTTAATCCTGAAAATAATTATTAAACTAAACATAAAGGAATAACTTATACTGAAAGAGCAATTTCACATGATTTGAAAATCAGCTGGGTAATTCCTTTTATTTTTTTCTATCAGAAACCCCATAGATAAAAAGCAAAATGTATAAAATCAAAAGAATAATAATGGAAAATAAATTCAGAATCATACCCTTGAACAAATCCTTCTGTCATGTCAGGCGGTTCTTTTCCAGATCTCCCCACTGGAAATTTGGATATTTTCGCTTCTGGGTTTAAACAAAAATAATTGCTAAATTATCATCCATATCTGCATTGTTGTTACATGCGCTACATAAATTACACAATAAATGTAATAATGAGTTTGAGTAAGCTATGAAAACAATAAAATTCCTTTCTGGACATTTAGTTGCTGTCGCGATCCTCAATGCGTGATGTACCAAGTCATCTCTTATAAAAAGAATCCCCTCCCTAGCTTGCTGATCCAGTTTAAAACAGTTTTCTTCCCTTGTGCAAAGAAAACTGCAAGGTGAGTGGCTTTTTCTCTGAAGAAGTTTTAGTGATTGTAGTTACACGCCTCAGGCAGGTTTTCTACGCCTTACTCCCCGACACAAAATTATGAATAAATTCTTGCACCTGGGAACCAGGTGCAAGAATTTACATGCTAAGCTAAGAATCAGGAATTTGTTTGCTGTTTACAAAGGTCCTTTTATGACTTTGGCAGAAAAGTCATTTAACTGTCAAATGACGCTCTTTTCTTGTATGGAAATTATGCTTGAATGGTAATAATTCTCACATATCTGAGTGCTCCTCTGCAATCAACTGCACAGCCGTTTACACTCCTTCAGAGGTACCATTGCTGGAATCTTGTGTACATTTTTGCTTTTATTGTGATGAAGAGATGAGCAAACAGTTTATTACCTGATGGATCACACATTTGCATGACACTTGTCAGGCAAATCTTGACCCAAACGTCATGCATAAACATGGAGAACATACAAACTCTCACAAAAAAGGCTCAGTGACACATTTAAACCGACCGTTTCACCAAATACAGTCATTCTCAACAAGAACTTAAATGCAAGTCAGCCAGGTTAAAATGAATTAACTGTCATAGTTCCCCGGCTAAAACTTTTTAAATCTTAGCTAACTTCCCCACCATGAACTATGTACCAGTAATTAGTCATACTTCGGATGAAATAAAGTTTATAAATATAAATGTAGGTCAGAACGTCATTCACAAGTTATCATATCAGGTGTATCACCTATCACCTAGCGTTTGTAACCCACTTTAAATCTGTTTTCGTCACGCAGCGTGGCTTAACGGCTGAACAAAAGTACAGGCAGCAGCTGGAGAGGATCATGGTGGAATTTTAATAATGAAATAAGAGAACGTGCAACAGTAGCACACGGGGAACAGGACACGGCATAAGTGATGTTGGATGGAGGTGAGGAAATCCGGTGATCGGGAACAGTTGTGGAAGCGAGCTGGAGAGCTGAGGAAAGCGTGGGCGGAGGAACATCAGTGATCTACTACAACTAAGTCCAAATGCAGAAGAGCAGATATCAGGAATAAATGACGAAAGTAAACGCAAGAAAATAACCGTGAACTGAATATGAGACCAGATGAACAAAATCAACAAAAAAAACAACAATAGCAACAACAACAACAAAAAAAAACAGGTAAAATAATCAAAACACAAACCCAATGGACAAAAGCAAACAACCAAGGGAAATAAGGTGATTTATTTTAGAAATACATTTGTCTTGATAGTCTTTAATGTCATCATTACAGGTGTGTGTCAGACTTTTGGCTTAAGTGAATTAAGATGAAAATTTGCTATAATTTTTGAATAAAAATAGTGTTTGTGGAGTCACCAAAATAAAGTTAGAGCCAGTATTTCTGTTCCTCAGTCCACAAAAATCCAGAGCTCACAGACGACTCCATGATGAGACATCGACAGAAGGTCACACGTTGGTCAAAAGGATGAGCTGAAAACTTCTAAAAAAAACCATGAGATAAGCCTGACAGTAGCTGGCTTACGAGAGCTTTTGTCTGCACAAGATCCTGTCAACAAATTGTCAGCACCCTATTGACAACTTTTTGTTCCTGGATTAAAGCAAAGTTGTGTAAAACAAACAGCTTTTGTTAACTCTTCCAGGTTGTTCAGCAGGTTTGAGGAGAAACTTTGAAAGCCATTTTCTCAGAAAAAAAAAAGTGAAAAATTCATTAGATAGTGCCAACATTCAAATAGCCATGTCTTCTTCACTTCTTGTTTAGAATCTGTAAATAACTCAAAACGCCCAAAGTTTTTAAAATCCTTCCATTTGATTTGCTTATTGAAATGCAGAATATAAACTGTGTGCCTGCAGGCCACCAACACAAACTTTAACAGCACATCATTAAACAAAAGATCCTTTTACATTTGTTCAAAGAAAAATATAGGATGTAATCTTGTCGCTTTAGCAAGATACTGCAGGTGCAGTATTTGTGCAAGCTTTAAAACCACATTTGGTTGACATTTTATTGGTAATTATGACTGAATAGATCATTTGAAGAGCTGAGTCATGTTAGCGCCTTTAGCAATGTGCAGCAGTGCATCAAATAAGTCCACATCACTCTATTCATTTAGTGGAGGGAGCAACATTCCTGTCAGAACTCCACCTCTTTAAGTCATCAGCTCTGAAACAAGTCTCATCAGCTCGGAATCCAATGTTCTTTTTCTGACTCTAAGTATCTTGATTTGTTTGTAATGAACAAAAGGCAACCGTGACTCCAGATGTTTGTGTATGCCGAATCGGATGTTTATGTTTGCATGTACAGTATTGACTGCAATCTGTTTTATTTGTGTAGTGTAGAAATTAGACAGATTTTGCAGGAGAAGACCAAAAAAACACAGAAGGAAGTATTTCTCATTGACCAATTTTCAGCATTCAGTCTTCTTTGGTACACATCTTTCAGAGAATTTGAGAAGCCACAGATAATGTTCAACTGTCCCAGCAATGTTTTGAAATACTAGAACCGTAAAGTCTTCCTTGATACCCATGGATAGGTATCAGCCGTCCGTGAAGATGGTATCTGTTCCGGTTTGATAGACTCAGACTGGAACTTCTGCCTCACTTTTCCACAAAGTACACATTTGTCAATCAAGACCAGTTTGTTTGGAGAATGCACAATTGAACTTGTCTGCAAACCAATATGGTGAACTCTAAAAGCACACGCCTCTGGCTTAAGTGAATTCTAGCGCGGCTCGAATGCACATCTAGATGCAAGCGGACTGGAGAAGTGGGAAGCGAATGATAGCACAGGGCGTTCTGGGTAAAAACAACCTAAACAAATGTGAGCATCTAGAAAGAAGTGGTTTGTGATCTTAAACCAAAGACAAAAGAGAAATCTGACTCTGCTTCATTGTTATTAATATTGCACAAACAAAGAAGTGGCCCACCGCACCACCGCAGGCAAAGAGGTGAAGAGGTTCCTCAATTAGTTTAGATCGCTTCAGACAGTGCGGTATGAAAGTGAACCGCAGCAGATGAACCAAGTCCACCGGACTATGAGGTGTGAAAACACACTGCCTTTAGCCTTAGAAGTAACAGTGATCATGCTTAAGACATTCTAGATATTTCTGGGTGTTACATGGGTTTCATGTTTTATGACATGATGAGTTTGGGGGATGTCGATATAGTCTTAAGTTGATTTTGTACAATTTTCAGCCCTCCATTATCTGAATTGAAAACAACAGAAGACTATAAAACAACCTCGCTAACCTGCAGGGAACGTCTAAATTGCTTTGATGGGATAAAGGTCAGAATTTTAAGGAAGCAGATGATCACCTGTTACTTACGGACACAGAATTTTCTCCGTGTTCCTCTATTTTTGAAAATGACACAACGAATCAGAAATAATGTCCTGTAAAGCTTAGTGCCAAAGAAAATAAGGCTGCCTGCTGTAAGCTCTGCCTCATCCCCCGTAGGGGTGCAACGTGACCCCTCTCACAGTGAATGCTGCACTCTCAGTGTCACTCTGACTTCTGCTTGGAGGAGTCAGGCATCTTTTTGGAGCAGATTGTTAAGCGAGGTGGAAATATGGTTGAACAAGGATTATCTGTTCCCTGCCTGCTCTGAAAAAGTCAAGCAAATTAAAAACACCACATCAGACCTCACATAATTACTTCTTCATTGACTAACTGGATGTCGTTAATATTTTCAGCACCTGATATTTAATAGTGAAAGAGGATCACCAGACATGTTTAAAAGGTGAAGCTAGAGCAAAGAGAAGGAGGTTGCTATTAAAAGTTAATCAAAGTTGTTTGACTATTCACACAATTCCCTGAAAAAGGTTTTTGCACCTTTTGAACTTTTTCACATTCTGCCACAACTTCAATGTATTGATTCAAACCCTTTCTGCTCCTCTATAATGCACTACAACATGAAACAATGCATACTTGGAAAGTGGAAGGAAAATCTCTTAGGGTTTTAAAAAATTTTTAGAAGTAGAAGTATGGTTGGCATTTGTTTCCAGCCACTGTGAGTCAATACTTAGCAGAACTACAGCTGGATGAAATTACATCAGTCTTTTGGTGTGCGTCTCCACCAGGATTGCATGTCTAGACATGGAAATTTCTGCATATTTCTTTTGACAAAATAACTCATGCTCAGTTAGCTTGGATCCATTTCAGATTTAGATCCAGGACTCAGAGCTGCTGTTTTGATACATAAATATGTTTCAATCGAAATGGATTCTTTTAACCTTTTGCAGCATGTTTAAGGTTTCTATCCTGCTTTCACGTGTCCTCTGGCCTCAATATAGAGCCAACAAAGGTTTTATCAGTACCAATCTTTCCTTTAAAACTTCATTGGCAGACTCAGAGGCAAAATAATCCAAGCTGGGAGTTTGATAACATCCCAGGCCATCAGTCGTGAATTAATGCAAACCACCAAGATTGAGTTAAATTTATTCAAGGCTGGGACAAACTGTTGTGCACTTTACCATTAACAGTCGATGTAAATGTAGTCTCACTTAGACTATGTCCTATTTGCACCCATACCAAGCGCTTGGACGCTTCAAATATTGTTTCGTTTGCAGAGAAAGCGAGGACTTGTGACCAAAGAGCTGAGAACAAATGACTGAAACACTGAACACAAACATGCACAACTGTGACGAGTTTGATGAAATGTGTCAAAACCATCCTGTTTTGAATTCATCTGCCATCTCAGGACATTTATGGATAAAAAAAACATGTTGATATAAATATTTCTAAAAGTTGGTCATATTTCAGTATGGACTCTAATCAATGTGCAGGTATTTTGAGTGATGTTCCTGTGACTCATCATTCAAATCTCTGCAGGTATGCGCTCTTCAGCACTACAGGTGCGCGACCTGTTTTGTCTTTCTGCACTGCTGCAGAAAGACAGCAGTGCTTTCTGCACTCCTGTCTTTTCCCCTTGCTGTCACAACTTCAGTCTGGGAGGTTTAGCCCGGCCGATACCAGAGTGAGCCCCACAAATAGCATATATTTATTTATTTATTATTATTTTTTACATAAAAAAAATTAGAGGACACAAATCTTTG